GCTCCGCCTGTGGGTTCGGGGGTGCCGGCCCGGGGCTCCCGCGCTGCCGCTCGCCCTGGCCAAAACCCGCTTGGGCTGCAAACGGCACTGTTTTCCTCCTCTCGCTTCTCCCAAGTTCAGTGATCTTCACATTTTTCTAAGGTTTCTAATATAACTTTATTCGCATTTTATCAAGGCTCTGGCTCTGCCAGGAGGCAGGTTTGTGGGATTTCCCAGGCGACGGCTGGTGCCGCTTCCCGGTGGCTTGGTTAAAGCGCATCAGGCAGCTTTTACAAAAGTTACTCTCAAGAGGGATCCGAGCACTAAATCTGGGTGTGACTCTGTGTGTGGAGCTGCAAGAGCTTATTTTCATGCATAAACAATGTTAAAAGTCTGTCCTTGTCCCTTCATGTGTCTCCCGCTAATACACCCCCAGTGCTGAATGCCCTGACTCCGTATCCCATTATCTTCCGGAACTGCACAACCTGCGAATGGACACGATGGTCCGTCATCCGTCCAGGACGCTGAGGATTTCTGCAGTTTGCTCAAATCTCCCCGACCTTCTCAGCCAAAGAATAATTCCCACCCTACAGAGGTCGGCCAGCGTGGAAGAAGGTGATGAGCCTGAGGACAGATTTTGTAAAATGCTCATTGAAAAGATCTTGGAGCACAAGATCTGCTGCAAAACATATTGCAAAGAACACAAGCTGGGACCACAGCGGCGTTCCAGGAGTCAGAAGAATTTGTGGCTCTAAGCCATAGAGCCCTTGGCAGGCCCCATCCTACACGGCCAGGTTTCTCAAAGACCTGGAAGTGATTCCATCCATGATGTGGAAATGCATTTGTGCCTGTTGCTAGTGCTGGCGGCAGCCTCGGGGCTCAGGGCCAGCCAGGTGCCGCGGGGGGTGCGGGGGGGATGCCTGGCTGCCCCTATCGCACAGGGTCTGCTGCCACCTCCAAACACCTCTGTCCTCTCCCCGGCCTCCAGGGAAGTTCAGAAGTTCGTGTCCGTCGGTAAGGAGCCAGGCAGGGCGGCTGCCCTGGGTGAAATCAAGGGCTTCAGCTGGCTGGGACTGGAGCTTCTTCAGAGCACACATGCATTTTAGATCAGTTTCTAAAGGAAAGGAGAGTCAGGCTAAGAACATATGGCTTAACGATGTATTTGGAGATGGTCATTTGCTCTATTTTCCACCTGAATAAATTTAAAGGCACAGCTGAAATTAACATGTCAAATCTTCATTTGAAATGTAATCTACTGTCATGTGGATGCTATTGGATCTGTTAATAATTAGAACCTGGCACCTCAGCTTAAGCGCAGCCACTAATTCAAAATCGTGGTGCTTAGCTTACTTAGCAGTGCTGGAAATAAGGGCACTGAATTTGTTGACAGCAGATCTTTTATATACATTTAAACAGATTTGTTTACCTCTTCCTTAATTAAAATGAATGCGATTTAGGCACGTAGCCCCCTTTTATGACTTTGGAAATGTTTTCCTTTAAACATAGTGTTAGCTCCATAATAGAGACTGGCTATATGGTAATTGATGTAGTCGAATTGAAATTAAACTGAAGTATTTAAGAGCATTTCTCTCTTTTTCTCTTCCTCGAGGTTCCTGACTTTCAGCACACCTGCTCTCCCAGAGGAGTCGCTGAAAACTGAGGGAACTACGTGCTGGCCAGAGGACCCACACATCATGTTGCTGCCTGTGATCTTCTCGGGTTTTCCAGGAGGTCCAAGAGAAGGCTCCTGGTGAGCAGCTCCACCAACCAACGATTCCGCATGAGACGGCACAGACCTGAGGGATTCGTGAACTGCTTCCGCCACGCAGATGGGAGAAGGGCTAAAAAATGAATGCACAATTATTCCACAGAAGTCCATCAAAATCATAATGAGCATAATCCATGATAAATTCCAGCTCTGCTCTGAACCCTGAACCCAGTAATTAAATCATCTCTCAATCTTTTAAAGAAGCCTATACCCATTGGGTACTTTAAATAATACCATGAGTAATGTAAAATAATTCTTTTAAAAATGCAGCTGCACTGCCGTGAGTTTTCTCTCCAGAAGGGTTTCGGGTTAGCCAGGATGGCTGAAGGGATCTCTGGTAGGTTTGCAGACCTGCCGTCACGCTGAAAGTGGCCTCAGATGGGCAGGAGGAGAGAGAAAATGGGAAAAGTACAAAGCATGAAAAAAAGTAAGTGCTTAATTTCTCCTCGAGCATCAGAAGGAGTGTGGGAGGAGAGTGGGAGTGTGTGGACTGAGTCACGGAACATAATTTCATGTGTTTGGGTTTTATTTTAATTATCCACACGGGCAGTTTTCAGGAAATCTCCCACCTCTTGCTCCTCCCAGCGCTCCCCTCTGGGTCCCGCGGCAGCAGGCGGCAGGGGCTGGCGTGGCGGCTCTGCCAGCCCCTGCCCACACAGCACCCAGGCAGCCCCTGCCCCCTGCCCACGCCGGGCTGAGCAGGCCCTGACAGCAAGGCTGGGGAGGGGGCTGCTCCTTCGAGTAGTCTGGCCCTGTGCTGCCCCAGAGATTTACTTGGAAGGTGGAATTACGGACCGAATGCCTGATTTCTTAATCCCAGGCTCCTTTTCCTAAAACGTCTGCTGTGTTTAATATCGGTCAGCCGTTACAGGTGCTCTCATGCTGCAGCTGTGCGTGCAGGACGTGCCGTGAAGACTTCAGGGGCTGAGAGATAAAAGGTTGGGCCAGGGTACTGCTCTGTTCCACCAGGAGAGCACTGCACGCTTGTGTCCTCCCAGCCCCATCCTGGTGATGTCTTTGGTGACAGGTACCACGGAATTACTGACAAACCCTGTCAGCAGAAATGCTTTACAAACGGCAAACACATTTCTTCATTCAAGGGGCTGAAACTGCTTATGGCCCACTCTTGCCTTTGCTTTTTCCCTAGTGCACCAGCCGGTCCTTAGCGGTGCACAGGCCGGATCTCAGGCTGGGCTCCAGGTCCCGGTATCCCGGCTGACTCCTCAGTCAGGGAGGTGGGAGCCGGGTGCATCGCAGCCTCCCCACAGCCCCTCTCATGGCAGGGCTCCTTGCTGGATGATTCTTTCCTGTACATTCTCCACCGGTTTGTCAGCCAAAACTTAGCCTGTAATTTCTGGAAGCCCCTTGTCAACTTCAGCACAGAAGGTGCCGAGCGATGTCCAAGCTGCTGCCGGGGGGAGCCCTGTCCCTCCACTCCGGCGGGACCCCTCCCTGCCCCGCACCGCAGGGAAGGGGCTGCTGGTTTCTGCAGCACCATCTGATGCTGTCCCTTCCCGCTTCTATCAAGAAATCTGGCAAGATGTACTCTTCCTTTGCTTAGCTTTCCTGTTAACCCTTTCGCTGAGGGGAGAGAACCAGCGGGAGTCGTGGCAGAAACCAACAGCTGCCACAGTGGCAAGGCAGAGTGACTTCTGACGTTAGAGGGGCTGAGCTGTGCAGGATGAATGATGCTTTTGTTAAAAAGCGTCATTGAAAAAGCCAGATGATTAGTTCTTTCAGGTTGCAAAGTCAGAACTTCAAACTTCAGAAATGTTGTAATTACTTTGTCTCTTGGTGGGGGACCACTAAGGCATACGTAACTCACTTTGGGGCTGGAGGAAGGGGAAATACCATTAGTTAGGGTCTGGAAGTCAGGGGAGAGACTAGGAAATTTGTACAAATAGGCAGCATAGAGGATTATTCGCTCCAAATTCATCTCATTTGAGGCACTTGGGAGGTCTGGCAACACACTCAGATGTGATGGGCTACACAAATGATCTAAAAATGCAGATGAAAATTCAGTATCACGGTGTCATGTTTGAAATAGAAGTGTTTGATTTCTGAGATAAGCTCATGGGTTGGGGGCGGTGGACGGACCTGAACGCTTGGTGCTTACACTGAATTTATTGTTTGTGTCCCCAGAGGTCCCAGGGGTCAAGGTGTGGTTATTGTGCCAAAGCTCAGCCCTGTGGCAGCACTAGCCAAGGGACTGGTTTTCCTACTGATTTCTTGGGCTGAGCTTGATTTTAACAACAGTTGCTTAAGCTCACCTTTGCTCCATGGACCTGGTTTCTTCTGGAAAGCTCATGGTCCCCGACAGGAGCGGGCTGGGAGCTTCCCACTGCCAGGCTCTCTGCAGGCCCCCAGCCCCCCGGTCTGGAGGACGTGGGGGCAGCCCCTGCCGCTTCTGCGTCGCCCTGAGCTGGGCACATTGCCCCCAGAGCCGCGGGGCCGAGGGGCTTTCCGGGGGACAGCCAGGCTGGCGGGGCAGAGCCGAGCGGGGCGCGGTGGCAGCGTGTCCCCCACCCTGCCAGGAGCCCGGGGGGAGCCGGCGGCAGGAAGACGGTGCTGGCTGCCCATCGGAGCCGCTGCCAGCAGCGTCCCAGTGTGAAACCAACGTACCATATGGTGAGTAGGTACGGCAGCATCTGAGCGGGGTGGTGGGCAGCGAGGCGGGGCCGGGGCTGATCATCCCATGAGCGTGTGAGAGGAAGGATTGGCCCAGAATATCAGTGCAGCGCTGTCCTGGGCTGGTGCACATATGGCGGAGAAGATCTACTATTCTGAGTCACTGAGAAACGTAATAAAAATAGGTTCTGCTACTGTGTAAAGAAAATAACAGGTACTAATTAATGTGGGTGCTCTGGGTGGCCCAGGGGAGCGGCGGGAGAGGAGCGTCAGGCAGAGGGCTGCCTGAGGCACAGGGAGCAAAGCGAGGTGCTCCCAGCGCTGGCGTGTCGAGAGCTGGCAGAAAGGCTGGGAAACCCTCTGTGACTTCAGCTGAAAAGACTCTTCAGATATTTTCTAATGCTATTTTGTGATGCGTATGCAACTGAGCAGGCACTTTTTCTTATTTCTATTCCACAGGAATTAAATTAATTTTAGAAATGGCACTATAACTATTTTCCTGCCTCAGGGACCATTTGTTTTA